AATGAAAGAATTATATGAAAATATGTCTAAATATAGGCGTAAGATCAGGAAGACAATTGAATTATATAGAATCTAAATCTTCAATAAATTATAAGACTATGTGTATAAATATATGAGTAGGATCAAGAAAATAAGTAAACAACAAATTATTAGAATATATGTATTAATACATGCAACTATGTGTGTCCATATAGGTGTTGTATTATTATTTGACGAAGTTATATGATATACGTTGAAAGGAGCTATGTAGAGAACACGAAGAATAGAGTGGACAAAACGAATATTAATCGAATAAATTAAATGAATAAATATAGATATGAATATAATTATATGAATATAAACATATGAAAGATGTAAGAATGAGAAACTTTAATAAACTTATGATTAAAGTGAAGAATGTCGACCTTTAAAAGGCGGAACATCTCTTACAACAGTTAAGAGTAAGTTAAGAGTATTTAATTTTGGGGAAATATATAGGAAAGAGAAAAAGAAAAAGTATGGTGTGAGGAATGTCGACCTTGATATAAGGCGGAGCATTTTCTACAACACCTACTATGATGAATTAGGAATTTATTCTTTTTAAACAAGTATGTACATAGGTAATGTTATTATTATTACTATTGTTATGAATACTGGTTGTTGTTTAGCTAACTATTTGGATGGTATGTTTTGTTTCTTTTATAGACTTTCCTAGTGTTCGACTAGTTAAGATACTCTCTTTCATTATTCTTTTTCTCTAGTCACTTTCATATGTTAATGTTTCCGTTTTAGAAAAGTCAAAACTATGTTTATATTTCAGAATATGTTCAGCGAGTTTAGAATCCAATGATAATGTTCTTATTTTAGCTTCATGTTCTTTCATACGGGTGTCCTTCATTCGACTAGTTTCTCCAATGTAGATTTTATCACAATTTTTACACGGAATAGAATATACTAAGTTCTTTTTCTTTTTCTCTTCATCAATTCCTTTAAGTTTTGATAAAAAGATACTTCTTAAGCTTATATGTTTCTTAAATACGAACTGAATTTTCAGGTTAGGAAGTAATTTTTTACATCATTTTTTTATTCGAGAAGCAAATATAATAGATTCTTGTCCATAGTATTTAATTGTGAAGAAAATAACATTTTTGTTTTTATTCTCATCTTTCTTAGTATTAGACAATGACTTAGTGAGTATCTCTCCTTCAGTAATACCTCTTTTTATAATATGTGGTGGATATCCATTGTTAGTTAATGTTTTTCTTAGTAGATCTAGTTCATTATTTATTATTTCTTTAGTTGAACAAATTCGGTAGATACGTATTACTAGCGTTTTCATAAGTCCTAGTTTATAACGACGACTCTGATTACTATCCCATAACAAATATAAACCTGTATGAATTGGTTTTCGATACATTGATGTAATTAGTTTATCTTCTACATGAGTTACTCGAACGTCAAGAAATGGGATGGAATTTTTAACTTCAAATTCAGCAGTGAAATGTAAGTTACGATTCAACTTATTAATACGTATATGGAATTCATCAATTTTTTCTTTAGGAATAGTGAATATACAGAAAATATCATCTACATATCTTAGCCAAATCATCGGTTTGTTGGTACTAAATCTATTTAATTTTTCTTCTATCTTTTGCATCCATAAATCGGCAATAATAGGTGCTAGAGGATTACCCATCGCTACTCTATCTATTTGTCTATAAATTTTATTTTGAAATCTAAAAGTTGAGTCTCTTATCGATAGATTCAAAAGTATTTTCATTTGTTCTTTATCAAAAGGAACATCTACTAATTTTGTTTGTTTATAGATATAGTTTAGTGTTACTTCTATTGCTTTTTCAACTGGAACATTCGTATATAAACTTTCTACATAAAAACTACGCATAGTGTAAGTTTTTCCTTTTTCTAGTGTTATCTCTTTTATTCTTTTTACGAATTCGAAAGAATCTTTTATATATGATTTTGCTTGTGGACGCGCATTTCTAATTGCTTTTGCTAGATATTTTGATAATTCATATTGATAACTACCTATAGTTGATATTATAGGACGTATAGGATAACCAGTTTTATGTGCTTTTGGAAGACCATAAAAGACTGAAAGTGAAGAACATGTCGATTGTAGTTGATAACGAAGTTTATTATCTATGACTCCTTTTTTAAATAATGAGAAAATATATTTATTCAATTTTTCTTCTTGTTCTCGATGAAATTTATCATTATTTAGTGGTTCTAATTGTTTTCCTTTAAGTATTTCCTCAGCTTTTTTTCATATGTTTCTTTATCAAGTATTACAATAGAATTTCCTTTATCGGCTTTACATATAATTATGTTATTATTAGATGGAGTGTGGGTGTGGGTGTGGGTGGGTGTGGGTGTGGGTGTGGGTGTGGGTGTGGGTGTGGGTGTGGGTGTGGGTGTGGGTGTGAGTGGGGTGGGTGTGGGTATTGTTCTTTTCTTCCGCAACACCCACACCCACATTCAGTTAGGGTTCGTTCAGTCTGCATATAAACTAATTTTTGTCGAGACCCAGAACTTATGAGACACCCTTTATACTTCAACACTCATTACCAATCGTTTTTCATGAAATTCTATTACGAATCTAAATGTAAGATTATGCACAATTATTGTTAGCACGAACTAATACTCTATACATTGTAGCATTGAAAAATTTCATGATTATAGGTTCAAAAAAATACTCAAATTTTCGTTTCCGTTTTCATTGATATTTCATCGGTTAGGGTCCTAAAGTCTACTAGTCGATCGGTACTGATAAATAATTTTGAATCGATCAATCCAGCTCAATCACATACTCTTCTTCTGACTTTATCTCTGTTTGGTGTTGGTTTTTTAATAGAAGCTTTTGCAAGGATACAAATATTAAAGTCAGTCTAACAATGTCACGGAAGGTTTCTATTTCTATCGATTTCTACATATGCATAAGAATAACGATTCAAGATCAGTAGGCCACAGAAACTTACCCTTCCACATACATATCTGTTAAAAATGATTCGATTCATTTAATAATGGGAAAACTTTTTCGTATTTTGAGAATGAAACTTATAATTATTGCTGCACACTCTTTTATTTAGAAAAAAAAAACTCAAGTTGTCATCATTAGATCTTTGTATTGAAAATCATTATTAGTTTTTTTTTCATTCAGAGTTATCACATAAATGGTATTCTTGAATAAAATCGAATTGTTTATGTTATGTTTTCTTGTTTTATGCTGTATAAGTAATCTTCAAGTATGGTAAAGCTTGACAATATCGATAGATAATGTATTCATGATATTGAAATCCCATCCAACCGCCAACGCCATGAACAGAATGATGATTTTGTGGTGCTGCACTAAGTGAATTGTTTGTAGTGTTCTGCACAGATTCGACACCCAATATAACTTTGTTATAAAAAATAACACGACGATTCGTCTGTGTATCAGGCGGTGCATAACCATTTGATTTTCGAGGATCATCAGCAAAATAGGCACCACGTCCTATACACAACAAAATGTAGAATTCATAGATAAGTATGTACAAAATTCAAAATAATAAACACATTTCTTACTATTACAGCACGAAACATGAAAATGACACGAATGGTAAGTTACAGTAGAAGAAAAGAATAGCTGTGATGACCCTGGTCATAAACGCTAGGACTATGATAGTTCTACATCAGTTCAGAACTTAGGAACTAGTTGACAAGTTCCAATTCCTAGGTATTCGAACTAGTAGGTCAAGTTTTGCAGAAAAGAACAGCTGCAAATCTGGTAAAGAAAGTCTTTATGTGATGAAACAGCGTCAGTTTACTTTTGCAAGAACTGGTCAACCAAATCGTTAGAACTGTCACAGTCCTTATAAATACCCTCTCACTCTTCGAAACAGAGATCGTGTCGAATAGAACTTTTCGGGTTCGGTTTGACGTTTTGCCTAAGAATAGTTTATATATGCCTTCTATCTCTGAATCTCTTTTACAGTTTTGTGAATAGCGCTATCTTCTCTCATTCTCTGACTTCTAAAAACTCTAAGCTGTGTATCGTTTTATCGCAAGATTGGAATATTCATATGCATTAGACATGAAAGATGCCATGTCTTTTAAATTCAAGACGAATTTAATCAAGTGACGTGTATTTATGTTGCGTTTTTGTTAAAAGAAAAGGCTTGCAGCAAATGTAGCTGTTACAGTATTAGATTGAAGTAAAATCCAAGAAACTGTTTAAATCAGTCGTACTTTTCTTATCTACTAAGAATCAAAACAACAGTTTGCGAATGAAGCTGTTAACATACCCCATACACCGCTCGGAGAAAAGTATCGATCATCAAAACCTCTGTTAATTATTCCTTCAATTGCTTCACCTCCAGTACCATGAAATAGCTCGCGTTCATTTGGATCGTTACCAGGACATTCTTTTGCTATTGTTCGTTTCATATAGTCATACAATGCTTCAATATTAGGATTTTTTATTTGTTCAATCGATATAACATTTGCCCCAGGTATCTTTTTCATTTGAGTCACAAGATCCTGATAGAGTACTGTCGTAGATGGATAAGGTACGAGAGCAGCATTGTAAGTTGACGGTGGATCTGGGATAAACGACAATGGTGTACCAATTTGTGTCCATCCTCTTGATTTCATCTTCTGTATGCGTTCAGCAACCGTTCCAGATGTATTTGGCCCATTTTCGCCATCGATGGGTCGTAAAACTTGAAAATTTTTATTACGAATGTTCTCGACAATTGTTTCAAGTTGAATTGGATACGATCCACCAGTGATATCAACACGCATTCCCAAATCTTTTGTATATCCTCGTTCTAATGATAAATTACTAACATCAAAATCAATTCGGTCATGCGTTAGAGCAATATGTGGTTCGATTAAATCCATTGTAAACGTACCTGTCTTGGAATTTTCATCTATCAAGAGTACGTAACGCCAGTCTTGTCGAATTACTGTTGCTGTAATTCCATAGCCATATAATGCATCTATAAAAGCTTCAATGTCAAAATTCTTTGACTGTGGTAAATGGCAGTCGAGATCTGATGGAACCAGATCTTTATGTAACAACGGTATACGAGATGGCTGATATTCGATCCATTGATTCGGTGGTAGATTAACTGGTTTTGAGAAATAGTTGCCGACAACCCAATCGCGAACAAAGCCACCTTCTAATCGACAATAAAACTGACATACAGCTATCCATGCTACCACTTCCATACGCGTTTCACGTGTGGCATTAGGACCTTTCAAGCTTTTCCATATATCAACCGATGTCCGATCTGGATCAGTTATATTGCTAATTTTTGCTTCCATGTCAAGAAATCGATCACGTATTTCCGGTTTCAAAACACGAGGTGAAACCCCTAGACATCAAACAAAAATCATATTATGCAAAATGTATGAATACAAAGAGAGAACCATTCATCTCTAAGATTTATTTTAGCAACATAGAAGGTAAAATAAATAATTCATGCATTGATCAAGTTGGCAAAAGTTTTGAAGTACATTGAATGGACTCCGCACTATGTCAAATTCTAGATATCATTTTACCTTCGTTATGGTCATAGTAATAAAAGATTCGCTACAGTACGACCCTGTGTGATCAGAAACGTTTGTTCATATTCGTTTCAAATCAAAGATGTTTTCCAACTTTTTACCGTGTAATCAGTATTTTTTTTGCATATTTCATTTATGGAAACAGCTTATATTAACAATGTATATACTACGTAGTTGTCTATATCTGTCATATGCGAACATTTTAGTTTTTCTAAATACTACTGCCACAAAGATACAAAATTTTTAATATTTGATAGAAACTTTGAGGATGATTGCAAGGATATTGGGTAGTTTTTTAAAGTTGGTTGACAAATAAGAATGCTAGCGTCCAATTACTGAGAAACGTCAAATTTCCATCGCCAACTAACGTTTTTCACTGTTTTGACTCTAACATTCTTATTTGTAAATCAAATAGAAAAAGAAATGCGTCAAAATGATCGATGTAAAAAGCTCTACGACATAGGCCGTTTTAGAAAAAAAATTGAAGACCTTTCTGTTTTTAGTGATAGACTAACCATAGAAACATCCTTGAATTATTATTATTAGGACACTTTGACATTTTCTTAGTGCTGTTTAAAGAAAATCTGTTCGTCGTCATGATCTATCACTTCTTGCAATCGATTTGTTGTTTTTATCATTATTTGTTACATTTATTAGCACTATTCTCATTGTCGTATCACTTGATTTTTTTCTAATTCGGCTTCATTTTCAAAGTTTTCTTTCCGTTGTGCAAGACAATTTATCAAGTAGAATTAGTAGAACAAGCGGTACAACAATAGAAATAGTGCTACTAAATGTACCAAATAATCACAAAGACATAAAATCAATTGCAAAAAGTGATAGATCAGGACGATGAACAGATATATGAACAATGATACAGATTTTTGCTTCTTTTATTTGAGACATTTGATTTGTCAATCTTTTCGTATTCGGTACTTTGTCTTTGAACATCCTGAAGAAAATGTCAAAATGTTCCTATAATAACGAACCTTTTCTCTAGAATGCTAAGATGTTTATATTCTGGTACAAATAATAACAGGTAGACCATAATAAATCGAACTAAATGTGGAATCTAGGACACGTGCCCGCAGAACATTTGCCCGCCGAACAGATGCCAGCAGGACACTTGCCCGTAGGACACTTGCCCGCAGATGACACTTGCCCGTAGGACACTGGCCCGCGGAGGACATATGCCCGCAGTGGACACTTGCCCGCCAGGCAGTTGCCTATGTGGGGACACTTGTCCACAATGCACCAGGATACTTGCTTGGTGACGATTTAGGAACTATAAACTTATTACATTATTAAAAAATTACTGCATCTTATCAATGGAGTTATGTGAACTAGTGATATCAAACTATCCTCCAACAATCGTATGACTTCTCAAGGATCTATCAATGCTTAAACCTCATGCTTGTGTTTGTGTCTGTTCGTATTCCTTTCTTCCATTTCTTTCGACAAACCATTTTCTTTCTATTCGATATCGTTTTCCTCGCTCGTTTTACATAGCTTGGTTTTAGGGTTAGGTTGTGCACATCCGAACATTTGGAATTCCGGTGAAAAAAGACCAATCGATGATCGAAGTCGAATTAATCCAAACCTGAGCCGGGATTAGACGACGAAAATATTTGGTGAAACAACACCAACAAATAATAGTTTTGAACATTTTGAATAAATAGTCGACAACAAATTTGGAAAAATAGTAGCACTAGCCATTAACATCCTGGTCAAATCGGTCAAACTTATTTTTCTTGAACTTGATAGTTCGTTTGTTAATGACCCATATTGTTGTAGGTTTCCATTTCTACATTCTACTACTTATAAGATGTATATATAAGTGAGTTGATAAAATGAATAAGATTTTGAAAGCAATGAAATTAGTCCCCTTTGTTTCGAAGAATAGTAGTGCGAATTTATTTTGCGGGTAAGTATCATGCAGGCAACTGTCCCACGGGCAAGTGTCCGCTGCGGGCATGTGTCCTCCGCGGGCAAGTGTCCTACAGGCAACTGTCCCGCGGGCATCTGTCCGGCGGGTAAGTGTCCTGCGGGCAAGTGTGCGTATACCCTAAATGTGAATGCAGTTTTTCTCTCACTTACTATTCATAAACATATAAGTTTATGTACTCAAAATGAATAACTACTTAATAGTCTAACTACGATTTCTGATATTCTGCAGACACCTATCGATTTGTGAAAGCTTCTGCTTATCAAGACCGATGCTAAAATAGTATGTATGTAGCATATATGGATAGAAATTTTCGTGCTCTCTGCTTCCACGATCTTTTCAAGGTTTCTGCTGATATTATTTAGGAGCAAAACGCTTAGCACTAATGCCTAGTTTTAGTGTTAGACAGAAAGATGCAATTGTTAAATTGAAGAAGAAAAACGATGAAGTTGTGTCGTATTGAGTAAGAGCAATCATATTATTCTGTTAGAAAAGGTTTTTCTCTATGCTGTTATGTCTTTTCTATCATTAAATGCTTTCGTAATATTTTCTTTCAAAATTCCGAAACCTACATTAAAAGACGCAGAGTTTCAAGGAAAATGTTGTGCTATATTTGAAATTTCAACAGCTTCTTTATTTAAAAATTTTCATCAGCATTTCGTTGTTGTTTCTCGTTGCTGTTGGACGATTGAGTAAATATTCATCGTTTAAAATTTGCGTCGAAACCAAGATTAATAGTTTGTAGAGCGGAAAATCTTCCACCTTTAGGCATATAAAGGAATATTTTTATGAGCATTAAGTGAAAGAAAAACTGGATTTTTATTTAGTTCAATTTAATATGGTCCACCCATTAGTTAGAAAACTCAAATTCTGCTATATGACATTTTTAGACATCCAGTATATACACTATTCATATCAACTGCTTCTATTAATGAAACATGTCAAGAAGAATATCGATCCCACAGGTCAAAGTTTAGTAAAAACTCTTTATATAAATTGAAAATAAATATTTTTTCTCTGGAATCTACATGAATATAGTCGATATTCTCTTAAATGTTTTTGATAAACACCCTAGTTTCAAACTGATATTTCACTTACCTGAATTCGGATATCGAATTACAGCACAAGTACGTAGCCAGCTTAAGAATGACATAAATTCTCTATGTACTGCTTGATTTTGTAAATCAATACCTTCCACTATTACATCAATCGTACCATTATTCTTATTCATTCTTGTTCTTACTTTCACTTGCTGTTCAGACTCCCATCTCCATCGTAATGGACCAAATAAATCACCAGGCATGCTTGTTATGCTATTTAAATTTCTGGTAAGATTATCATCAGGATTGTTTGGATAATCAGGTATCAATGTAAACTTTAACACAGTCACCAGTTGTTGCCGAACATAAAGTTCCGCATTCAGAATATGACCGGATGGACCATGGAATACTAGCTTTCTATTATTGACAGAGATTTGTACTTGTGAAAATCGTTGAATTGCTTGTTGTAATATATTTTCATCTTTCAATTTTTTTTCTTCAGCTTCATTTAATTGTAATTCACGACTAAAAATATATTCTAACCATGATGATTCAAGTTGTCCAACAAACGACAGGATAGAAACTGAACGTACAGTTGTTAAATAGCGAACATCACGAGCTATAACTAACGGTGTCGGTAGAGATCCTTTATTTCCAGTTCTTAACGTCGAAGATCTATCAATAACTGCGATTTCAGCTACTTCATTCAATGAATCTTGCTGTTGATTATTTGATATTCGTTGATTCACGTTGTACTTTACAAATTGTTGTGCTTTACCTTGAAGCATTTTTAGAGATGCATATACTTTATCAGAAAAACCATTCAATAATGCTTTAGCTATATTTTCCCAATTACCGGATTGAACTCGAGCAAGTTCGCGAAATTCATCGGATAGGCTAAAAGCTTTGTCTAAATTTTTGTATCGTTGTAATGCTGGCTTGATCATATGCGCAGCAGCGGATAACCCTTTAGCATCACAAACACGATCCAAATTAAACTGTTTAGGAGGAACTGCATCGCGAACCAATAAAACGGTATTCATCACTTGTAAAAGTGTCATAAAATCACCTTCGGGACGTTTATATTGGATTGGAATTAATTTCAGTATGGTTGATGTGTTGAGAACGGAAAAAATTGATGATAAAACGATCAAATCACGACCACAACGATATTTTTTCAATGCAGCATAGACAGCTTTAGACATTGATAAAGAGCCGAAATCAGGTAATTTTGCAATTGATGCACCAAGATTAGTGAAACTTTCATTTGACGAAGAACTAATAAGTCCTAGATATAATTTACATTTTTGAAAAAGAATTTTCGATTAATATCCTTTAAATATTATTGATAAAAAATAATAATAACTTACCTAATCGTTGTAGTTGTTTCAAGGCATCGTCAATATATTCCTTTTTTGGTTTATCAGGCAAATATTGTTGAAATTCTTTCAAACTAGTTCTCAATCGAGATCTTCGTAAACCAAATTCTACATTTACTAATTCTGATTGACATATTTGTGGCACAGGATACTTTCGTTGTTCGCCTAGAACATAAATTTTTTCTTTTGATTCTGAAAATATCTTTTCTTGCCATACCAGGTGCATAATCATACAGCACATAGTATTCACCAGGTTGTGTTCTACCAAGTCGGCCACGTCTTTGTTTGGTTGTTGATTCAGCAGTTTTTATTTCTTGTAATTCTGTTCGTTCTAATGGTAAACTGTATATTGGCATATTGATCAAACCAGTATCAATAACATATTTCAAACATGGAAATGTCAATGATGTTTCGGCAACCGTCGTTGAGAAAAAGACAGTGCCTTGTTCAATATATTTTTGCTGATCAATTGCCGGCTGTGACTGTATGAGAGGATATGCAACAATAGCACCTTTTGTTATCTTATTTAGCAATCGACAATTTTCAATTGCTTCCAGTGTTGAACCGACAAAACAAAGTATTTGATCATGCCGGTGTCGTTTACTATACAATTTTTGTACAAGATCGAGTAGATTTTCCTTTGGTGCATCATTTACAGTCGTTGTATAAAGTGTCGATAATGATACTAAATTCAATTCAATTAAAGAACAACCAGAAATATTCCGATACAATGTCGGAACTGATGAATCCAACGTAGCAGATGATATAATCACTTTCATTTTCGTTTTCAATTCAGGTTGCAATTTTAATAATCGTGCAAATAATGCCAAACATAAATCGATATTTATTGAGCGCTCGTGCACTTCGTCGATCAAGAATATGACTGATTTTCTCACACTGGTATTTTCTGTTATCAAATTGTCATCGTTCAATAGACGTTCTTTCAATAAACCATCGGTGAGATAAAGAATTTTGGCTTGAACATTATGCTCGGCACCGCTTACTGCCCATCCACTTATATCATCGTTAACCATTGAATTCACACGCTGAGATATCAAGTTGCATGGTAGACGTCGAGGTTGCGTGACAATAATCTTGTCATAACCTTCAGCGACCAGCAAGGCTGGTAGAAGTGTTGATTTTCCTGCAATGAATAAAGCAAATATAGAACTCACTTCATTTTGCACGAATAGAAAAAATTTTGCACAATTTTAAATTGATTAGAAAAACCACCAATCAGTATAATCAATAAATTTTCGATATTTTTGATTATAACCGATGATTAGACTAAATATCAAAAGAGCATAATTCTTTATAAAGAATGAGCACTACGTTCGTAATCATGAAGAAAATGATTTATTCCTCTTTTAGAAAAAAATTTTGAGTTAAAACCAACTGGATTTGAGCTTTTCCGATGTCATTGATGTAGAATGAAAGAATTATGCTAGATATATTTTTTACCTGATCCAGTTGCTGTTTCGATTGTTATGACTGTATTGTTAGCGATTTTGCTTAAGAGATCAAACGACTCATTGAATAGAGGTAATTGTATCAGAAAGCAGTGATAAAATATCATTAAACGTTGTAATAGAGATACAATCATTTGAAAATGTTTTAATTCATATCCTTTAAAATCAGCATTTGTCGTCAATGTATTTTTAACCTTTTCAATATGTTTGTTCAATGCTGAAGCAGATTCTTTTGATGGTATAGTTTTCGTCGATTTTTGTTGTAAGAAAATATATTCATGGATGAATTCATTTAGAGCTGTCGCCTTTAGTGACTCAACATCATTCGAGAATGTTTCTGCTTTCATATAATTGTTTGTCCAATCGATTATATCTTTTCGAAAATCTTGCATTGAATTTTGAATACAAATATCCAATAGTGTTTTCAATTTATCGTTCATACAGTTCTTGAATTTCTGAACATAATTATCATATTTTTGATTGATTAATTTAGCTAATGAACTACAATAAGGTTTCCAATAAGTCAGATTCGTAGGATGTACTCGATGAATTATTCTTAATAAAAATCGTATATTTTTGTTTGTTTGTCGATTATAATATTCTTCAGCAGATTGAATTTGCTGAACTAGTTTTTGCCATTGTTCCAAGATCTTCTTCAATTCCTGATGATGAATTGAAAAACCTTTAAGTGTTATTTTACCATCATTTTCATCGTCTAAGTCAATCAGAGGTATATTATCTTTAAAATATTCTTTTAGAGGATAACTCAGCCTTCTCAATTTATTGACTATTAAATTGAATTTCAAAAGTATAGACTGATTTGACTTCGAAATAGTATATTGAACGGTAGATATTTGTTTGGCTGTTTCGTTTATCAAGTTTTCCTTTTGAGCTTTTGTGTCTAATTGTCTCTGTAAATCTTCTAATCTATCCATTGTTGAACTTAATGTTGCCGCACTTTCTGCATCATTTTCATTGATATTTTTCACTTTTTCTTCGACTTCTCTTTCTAGTATAACGATCTTTGCTTTCAATTGTTCATTTTCAAGTTCCATAGTGGCTTGAGCTTTTTTCGCTGCGTCATCCTGTCTAGCACGATTATTAGCTTCGGAAACTTGACTAATTGTTATCTTTTCTGGTATGTCTGTAGGTTGACCTAGTCCTTCATCGATAAAATTGTTGATGCTTGGTGTTGGGACATCTGTAACAGGATCTGGGTCAGTTGCTGATGGAGCTAGATCATCTAGAAAAACAAAAGACATAGAAAACGACAATTAACTTCTATTCTTACGGTGTTCAGTTGTTGGTTTGGAGTCAGTGCTCAGAAGATCAGTGATGCTCCAAGTACCAATATTGGTAATTGAAGTAGTCGAATTTGCAGCATTATCATCAGCATCATCATCATCCGCTCCGTTTTCAGCTATTTGTAAATAAGTCATAGGATTGGTTTCCTTATTCTGGTCATCTTCAGTTGTAATCATGCTTGCTGCCATAGTTAATTTCGATCCTTTAAATTGTTCTAATCGTTTTGTTGTCAATGGTATTGGATTAAAATTATTGATCATTTTAAAATTATTCAATATTTTGATACTATTTTGATCATTAGGTGTATTTGCAATAAATTTGGGTATCCACCGAATAAAACCCAATATTGTTCTATTGTTATTGGTAAATGTAAATGAATATAGATTGCATTTAACAGTTGTATTTTCACTAAAATTAATATCGAAATTACAATCAAGATCAACATATCGTCGTCTATAATTTATTGTATCGTCTAACAAAGCATTTCTTTTCGAATCGCATGTGTACCAGCTATTCAATTTTATTTGAAATTTGCTATCATAAACAGATGGAAAGATTTTTGAATCCAACGATGGAGGTTCTGATAACGCCGTCTGAAATTGCTTTTTCGTATCGTATTTGACAAACATTAATTGCCAAACACAATGAATATCAAAATTAGCTATACTCGATCCTCGACATCGAATCCATGCTAAACCATCTTTATTTGATGGATTTGGTTCTTGATTTTTACTTCCACGGAGAAATGTTAATAGTTGTACGCTAAATGTGCCTTGCCAAGCACTTAAATAAGTTGTTGTATTAAACGATTGGTTGTTCGCTCCTGGCATTAAAGCAGCAGATAATGTATTATGTTCACTCATAGTAAATTCTTCCCATTCAAGTCCTTTTACTGGTTTATATTCCCAAATACAATTGTTCGCTGTTCGATCATGACAGTCTAAAATAGTTTCACTTGGTAAAGGAGCATATGGTAAATTAGTGTATGTTGATATGAGATAATCATTAAAGAAGTCTTGTATTGCCTGATGACCTACACTATTCTGAATAGGAGTTTCACCCAGCTGATTTCTTATAAAATAGTTTGCTCCTTTGCCAATCAAATATTTAACAATATCCAAATTATTATTAAAACAGGCAGCATGTAATGCTGTTGAAGCAGCTCTAGGATCCGGATTGTAGCTTAGAGTATTTTGTTGGTTTTGAGCCGTATCATCATCTGTTATCAATGCATAAGTGATTTCACTTTGATTTTGAGCATTTACAGAACAACCAGCTGTTTCAATTAAGTATTGAACCAAACGGAGATGATTGTTTCGTGCGGCTGAGTATAGTAGTGTTGTTTTCCAAAAGCCTGGTCTATCCTTATACATTGGATGACGTTTCAGAAAGTTTTCAACTGTTTTTAAATCTCCACTAAATGCGGCTGGATAAGCTCGTGCAGCCAATAGTAAACCATTTAAATCGTGTTTAAATGTATACAGAATACTGGCTGTTAGTCCTTGAGTGAATACTCGTTCTTGATTGAAATGATATTGATGTAAATGTTGCTCGATGTAACTGACACACATCGTTGATAATTGTGGTAAATAATCCCTTAATATGTTTTGAATATCATGAGTTAATGTATCCAACAATTCACTTTCTTCATTGTCAACAGTAAATGTGTTCACATTGTTGTTCTTCACTGTATTATCGAACAATGGATCATCAGTGACAACAATTGTTGTTGTAGCCGTAGTTTGAGTCGGAGTTACAGTCTTTGATGTATGTGATTCTGATGCAGTTCCCCGTTTCTTGTCCAATTCTTTAAGAACAGCATCGGTCTTCTCAATTATCAAAGTCAAACATTGATTCAACCTTGCTTCATCGACCGACTCCATGGTATCTGTCGACAACTTCTGAAGACAAATGACAATATAATCTTACTCATAAATGGCCTCTACTAATAAAATTTCACAATATATTTCAGGGTGTGGGTGTGGGTGTGGGTGGTGGATGGTTGTGGGTGTGGGTGGTGGATGGTTGTGGGTGTGGGTGTGGGTGTGGGTGGTTGTGGGTATGGGTGTTACGGTAGAAAAGAACAATACCCACACCCACACTCACCCACACCCACACCCACAATCACCCACACCCACACCCACACCCACACCCACTCACACCCACACCCACACCCACACCCACACACCCGTCCACACCCATACCCACACCCACACACCCACACCCACACCCACACTCACACCCAACACACGCACACCCACACCCACACCCACACCCAAATATCGTCAAGATCTATCGAATGAAGGCAGTAAACAAGCAAGCTCGGAAAAGGAAAGAAATATTGTTTTATATATATGCATGCCATAGGTCTCGTATATATAAATTAAAAATGATATAATGAATAAGTAGTTTTATTTGTAATTTGTATTTTTATTTGTCTTTTTATATACATTTAATAGAATGTATATTGATTATAATAACAACGACCTGACTAACATGTAATAAGACATATATATGAATAATCATAAAGAAAAAGTATATAATAATAATGATTAAAGCAACTATAATGATAATTTTAATATTATCTAAAGCTTTCGGACCCTTGCACCCGTCATCAGTAGTCTAATATATAGGCGTGTGTGCCTATGGGTGCTGCAAGTTGCAAATGTTCTTTTTGATATATGTTTATCACATCATTGTTGTCATATAATCAACACATATTTTATTAAATGTATATAAAAACTACAAATAAAACTGCACATTCATTATATCATTATTAATTTATATATACAAATCCTATGATATGTATATATATAAATACAAAAGAATATTTCTTTCCTTCTCACGAGCTCGTTTATTTATTACCTTCATTTGATAAATCTTGACGCTATTTGTCCATGCGTATACACATATACCATGAAATGCAGTCTTAACATGAGCGATAGCAGTAGTTAGCTACCTTTTTCTTTTCTTCGCCTGTTACGGATGAGTACTCTCGCATTTTTTCTTCCTCTGCCTCGCCTACTATTCGAGAGCAACTGGACGGACTTTGCGTCATAAAAATGCACAAAAATACGACCCACAAGAGAAGAGTGACAAAAAAAGGAAGTAATATGTCATACTTGTAAAATACGTGTTTCTCTGTATGCACAGCATTTATGTTTTACTATATTGATTCTACGGCAAAACACGCCGTGGACAAGAAAGAACAAACAATGATTAAGCACGCTAGTGGAAAGAAAAGTATGAGCTTTTCTTTCTCTTCGAGTGTATCATTCACTAATGATATCAGCGATTTAAATGTTCAGGACTAAGGAAAGATACCAAAGAATAGCAGTGATAACTTGTGCATATGGTTTTCACAGCTTGAAAGTTATTTTCTACAGAGTGTGGATAGTTAAGCGCGAGGGTGTGGGTGGGTGGGGGTCTGTAGGTGTGGGTGTGGGTGTGGGTGTGGGTGTGGGTGTGGGTGTGGGTGTGGGTGGGGGTGGGGGTGGGGGGGGGGGTGTTGGTGGGGTGGGCGTGGGTGTGGGTGTGGGTGTGGGTGGGTGTGAGTGTGGGTGTGGGTTTGGTTGTTGGTGATATAATGAAAACCCACACTCCACACCCACACCCACACCCCACCCCCACCCCCCCCCCACACCCCCTCCACACCCACACCCATCTTAAACTCGGACGAAGATTGGTGAAGTTCCGCCTATTCGAAGTTTGAGCAAAATTGTTTTCATGTAATCAGACGATACTTTTATGATGAAACTTAAAATAAGTAGATTAAAGAAAATTAGGAAAATCTATACAGGTCATTCCATTTATTTTGAAACGATTTGCATCTTGTTTTTCTTGGCTGATAACTGAGAAAGATCTCATGATTCTCATATCACTTGATACTCCTAATACGCAACATGTTGTTATGATGTTTATATTTTGCATAAGCGAATGTCTCGTAATAAAATATCTGATAATATGGAAGGTATCGTCAAACGTCTTTTGACGAAAAAGTATTAATATTCTGTGATCCATCAAGAATTGTCGGAAATGAGTTTAAATGTATCAGAAAGTACCATCAGTCGTATTGCTAGTTAGGCTAAAAAACAGCGCGAAGCATGCATATTAAATAATTAAAAACTAAAATTCTATCTTCCATGTCATGCAGCAACACCTGTAGTGGTCGGTCGTATTATCTCGTATGTGAATAGATAAAATCCTCCAACAATTACTTTAACGACTGCAAGGTATCATACTAGCATTGGTACTACTTGTCGTATCATTCGTGATATTATTCAAGCAAAATGTTGTAAAAAATAGAGCAATACATTGATGATTTCTGTTTCTTATGAAAAAGAGATGATCTTGAGTTCGTCGTACCTATCGTCGATTGTGCAAAAAATGATGTACCAGGTCATGAAGCCTGGTGTTATATTGATGTAAGAGAAGATGTTACAGATATATATATTCTTAAAAGTAATGGATTACTGTAAGAAATTAAAAAATCGAACAATAAGATTTACATCCCGCGGCTGTGCTGATTTGGACTAGTATGAGTAAACATATTAAAACTCAGTTACGGTTTATGGAATATGGCTCAACAATTACTAGCAGATACTACTTAGAACGTAAAATAAAACATTTAGCGAATATGATGTTTCATGTTTGTTTCCTAGTGATGTAGGAAAGAAAATGATTCTTCATCACAACAGTACCTTTGATCCTATGACAAAAAGGCAATTACTTATATGAAAGAGCATAACATCCAAGTTAGAACGCCAAATGCGTGGCTATCCAAGAGGCTAGATACTCCTCCAACGGACTATTCGATTCGGAAGATCACAAAAGAACAAGTAAGGAAATACAAAGTGCCAACATTGAATAGCTTGAAAAATGTTGTAAAATTGTAGTGTGAAAATCTTGAGCTCCATAAATCGACGACGCTTTAGAGAATTGGGCAAAGCATTGTAGATTAATTTACTATGTTCATGGAACACATATTGAACATTTATTGCAACAAACGTTTCAAGATAAGAAAATAAAAAGCTTTCTAATTTGTTTCAAAATAAATGGAATGACCTGTAGAAATTGAAGTATGCCCAAAAGGTCAAGTCTTGATACCTTTAATATTATTCTTCACATAGTGAGAAAACAAAATTCTGTATCATCTTTGAAAAATATTGTTTGATTGTTGAGAAAATCGATTTTTTCGATAGGATAGCGAAAAAAGTCATAAATACAGACTTGCATCCAACGGTTTTTATCATTAGAACTTCAATGTCGAAAGAAATGAATACCATGTTCGATACTCGAATGTGGTTTTCTTCAAATTTGGACCCTAGATGCAGTACTGTCCGAGAATACGAAAATAATAGTAAGAGGCATAAGGATCGAAGCTTGACAAAAATTTTTTTGAATATATTAGTTAATACAGATTTTTGCCCTGAATCTGAATCTTATATTCGTTGCTTTCGAGGCTAACATTACTACAGTCAAAATCATTGAATAGAAACCTGTTTGTAAGGCATTTTTATTATCATATGAAAGAAAATTGCTTTTCTCAATGAGCAAACCAATTATTCGATTCTACATAAGATGTGATTATATGTTAATATTATGCCTGTTTTCCTGATTGAAAATATTCTTTGTAGAGACTTAGGACACGGATGAAAAATGCATTTTGTGCTTCATCTCTTGACTATAGATACTTTCCATAGTTGATAGAAAAAAATAAGATTGATGAATTCAAAGTATTATGGTGATTATTTCAGATGGTATAATGCGACTAGAATGCATAAATATTCAGTACAAATTTTCGTCACTTCTGGTTTTGCTATTTGAAAGATTGTTAAATTCTTGCCGTTCGAATTGTCAAAACCGCTTAATACTATTTTTATATTTTATTGATAAGATCTGCGGAAATAACTTTGCTTAAAAATAGCAAAAATGGGAAGATCTTTTGGGTTTGGGGCATGTTTACTGGAAGTTTTCATTTTAATAAACATTTAAATCTTTATAGAAAATCGAAAACTTGCTATTCGTTTCTTCGATAATTAATCTTAATTATTACTTTTAATCTCATTCATTCCTCAAAACTATTGCTTTTTTCGGTATCCTTTTTAGCACAATGTCCTACAAAGACTGCGCATTTACTTTTAAGAGTTTATTCCACTCCTAGTCATAATACCACTTGAAGACTAATAAGTTGTGATGCTGTTTCGTAGTAAAACTTTGTTGACGTCATTACTTATGAATGATAAAACGGCACTGAGATACACCCAAAAAACAATTCTGTTTTTTCAAAAATGAGTCTATAGTTTAAACAAAACTTTTAGTTTGATCGAAGAAATTCTATATTGTATTATCGAACATACTTTTAAATTGCTTTCCACACTTTTGCATCCATAATCAATTTTGTCCTTCATCTTACATTATTAATTCAATACACCTATCAAACATTGTCAACTTTCTTATACCGTTCGTTGAAAATATTCTCTTCAATAACATTTTATAGAATCATCTCCCAGTTTCACTACTATATAAGTCTTGCATAACGTCATATAGATATCTTAGTGTATTTGAATAAGAATGAGGAATTAGGCATCGTTCTCAAATAGTTGGATATATTATCTTTAAACTTGATAGTGCTTACAAATTCCAATGATCAAAAGTTCTAAAAAGAAAACAACGTATTGAATAAGCCATACTTTAAATACATACTGTAAAGTCACATCAATATCTGTGAACATGTGACTGTACAAGTACAAGAAAGCATGCAAAGTACAGACAAATTTATCTTATTTCATAAGACTCCCTTCTCCTTTCAGTTCTATAAACAAATTTCATCTTGACATTCAACATTTTTACAACTCTTTCTTCCAGAAAAAAGAATTATAGCAAAATAGCTGGTCATCATCATTGAAATACGTAGACAAAACTAACTTAGATACGTTGTATTTTGTTTCATAATTCAGTAAAGAACAAAAAACATCCATGGGTTTCTTTTGGCATTCAGTGCAATTCCAATCAACGATGCTCTAAAATACGCAGATTTCTACTCCAATCCATACAGATGTATTTAATTTATTAACGATAGAAAAAAAAATACTAGAGACATGTAAAAAGATTTGATTAGTAGAAATAAAAATGTCTGTCTTTCGTGACTCCATATGTGCTGAAATGATAGTGGTATGATGATCACTGTGGTTGTACTTCATATACGAAAAATAAAATATACATATAAATTTTTCGAAACAATTTGCATTTAAAAAGACATACCTCGTTGCTTTCCATGTCTTTGTTCAACTATTGCTTCCATTCGCACCTAATCTACTTAGTTTAAAGGAAGCAAAGAGATCGCATGACAAAGGAACTATTCTTCCTAGTGGTTCTTTTCGAATATTTCCTTAGTTTGAACTGACCCAGCCAACTTCCAATCATGAGAAAAACTTACATGACATATGAATTATATGTAGCGTGACTCATTTCAATTGTTTCCTAAGCTCGAAATATTTCTACGGAGTGAAAACTATGAACTGTAATCACATGCCATATGAACAACTGCTCCACTCCTTGTCGTTCGTTATTTCTTTAGGCCGAAGGATCTATGCTAAGCTCAAAGTGTGAAGGACGAAGAGAACACAGTATATGAACAATTCTATACAAGTCTTTTCAAGTACTTCATGTGTTCAGAGTAAATCTACCGTGTTCAAAGCATGAAATAAAGGTCATATGGATCATGAACAAGTGTACAATCCATTTTCTTTTCTAATATTATTCAAGTTCATGGTGGATTTGTTGTGTTTAAATTACGACGAAAGGACGAAATATAAATGAACAAGTCTACATGGTTGACACCAACTATTTCTTTGCTTCGAAGAATATAGTAATGTTCTGATCATAAAAATAGAGCATATGAGAAATGAATAATCGTACTTGTGGTTCTATGCAGCTATTTCCTACATTCGTAGTCTCAGTCTAGTTCAAAGTATGAAGAAGCATATGACATGCATATGAACGAGTTGCAAGGATGCTGTTCAACTATTTTTCAGTTCCAATAATTTATGTGGAACTTAAGAGTATCTGTAAAGATCACTTGACAAGCGAATAACTCTAATAGCAGAGCCTCTCTATTCAGGTATTTCACCAATAAGACAAGTCGATGTGGAGTTCAAATTATGAGTAGAAGGCATATGACAAATAAACTATTTATTCCCTTTGTGTTCTTCAACAATCACATCAGTCTAAAGTGACTATGCCCAAGTTTGAAGGATAAAGAAGAATTACATGATGAAGAAACGACTCTATGCTTCTAAGTGTTCCACTACTTTTTTTTCATTTAATTAAGCAGAATCCGACTTGCTGTCAACTACGATTACGTTGCACATGAATGAAAGATACGCTTTTGTACTGAACTATAGACGAGTTCACGTAAAGCCAATCTACGATTTGTAAGAGCTTCGTTTCGCTCTGGGTCGCCTGCAAGTTGCCATGCATTGACGATTGTGATCATCAAAATTAAGATTAGAATTAGACGCATTATTGTACTACTCGTTATCGTGATTGCTTTTAAATATGACGAATGCCAGAATATCTTGCTTGTAATAAACTCAATATTATTTTATGATTTTAATATGCGTGCTCGTTCTTTATATAGATATGATGTGAAGGAAAGCAAATGACGTCGTTATTTGTATTTTTTGTTGATTTATTTTTCAAAGTCACTGAAGCATGCGCATAAAGCGTATTCATCAATAAAGGAGAAAAATAGACGATACGATATGAAGAGGAGATACTCTGAAAAGGAGGTCTTAACATGTGGATAAATTGTGGTAACTGTTCCATGATTTGTTACATTTTCTCCTTCATTTTAACGAAAAAGAAAGAAATAAGTCCTTGTAGGAGTATGCATATAATTTCTTGTTTTAGTCTGGATTACAAAATTTTCTTGATGTACAATCGTCAGTAAGCGTTTCGATGACTCATCGTTTATGATGTGATCCATGGAGATGATTGAATACTATATTAAGGAAAGATCAAACTCAGTGCATAATGCAACCAACCATGTACAATAATAATAAAATACGTGTACGGCTTAATATTTACGAGATGCACATCAAGGTTATATTTTTTTTAAAGCAAATAAGAATAGTTCGTGACACAGTCGAATAGTTTTTTTACTTGATTTCTTTTTTCAATCTTAAGTGCAGTTTTTCTAGATGAAAAAGAAATTTCTGTAGTTTATCATTACAAATGTGTAAGCTCCAATATATTTTTTTCTGGACCTTCGTAG